TAAACCCTCAGTGGCCGTCGCTCCTTCAACGGATGAAGAAGCGTAGCAAAACGACACGAACTCTGTCTCTCTCTCTGCTGCAGCCCTCTCGTCGCTGTCAGCAGATCTCGACATTGGCATCTGGCTCCTGAAGCACATTGCCGCGACACGCGAGAATATAACATGCCTGTACTGTGCTCAAAGCGCAAATATTATAAAGCTGTCTTAGAAGTCATTCAACGGCAGTTTTAGCGAGCGCTCTCAATTATTGCAACTTTGCGAGCGTGCCGCACTTACCGTCACTTTTTTGCAACGAAAGATACTCGTATACCTGAACGCCTAAACTCATCAATGCCATCATTTTCTCCGGAAGAAAAAAGTACATTCAGCGAAGTGCCAGTTTAACGGCGACTGCAATTACTGCCGTCGGCGTTTGCGCCAAAGCCTATCGCTGAAGGTAATAATGGTTCTCAGAGACGGCCATGTTCAGCCGGTAGGAATGCGGGTTTTCTCTCCCCTGTTCCGCGTATGTAAAGCGTCTGTCCGCGTTGGATCCTCTTCGCAAACCGTTGTCTGCGATGGGCGTCCCACATATACCGTTCTGTCCACCCAACGGCTGTGGGTGTCAACTCTCTGTCAAGCTTTTGGCTCAGCCACCGAACAAAGACGGTGGTCACCGCATCATCATCATCATCGCGCGCTTTCAGATGCGCTTCTGCGGCCGTCTGGAACTGCTCTTCCCTCCAATATTCGGGAGCAACTGGAGCCATGCACTTTTAAATCATCATCTAGGTTAAAAACTAATTTCTCTAGTACCGCGTGGTTTGTACTTCTCCCCACATCTCCGATTAGCACGGTTGGCTACGTACGGTGCGAAAGAAGTTCAGCATGGATACACACCAATCTTTATGACACCACGGTGTAAAGTGCGATCTACCCACTCTCCCTCTCTTTCACTCCCTACCCTAACAATCTTATAATCATCGTCTTCACCATCTCCCTCCTACTCCCCCTCTCCTGTCTCTTTCCATCCCCCCCCCCCCCTCACAATCTCATCATCTCCCTTCTACTCTCCCCTCTCTCTCCTCTTTCACTTCCTCCCGACACTGACGCCTGCTGATGTATATTTGCATGTTCTCTCTCTCCCCGTGGTCGCGTAGATTTTTCTCCGGGTCCTCCGGTTTATTCTCTCCACATTTAGAATCGACGTCACGCGTTTAAGGGTTTTTGGCTGCTCTAAATGTCCACGTGATAAGCCACTTCGTTGAGCTATCATTTGTGGCCAGGTCGCTTCTGAAAAAGAGCTGCATAGCTCAGCCGGTGCCTTACCTGGTAATATAAAAAAAATTCAATCGTTTAAAACAAGAATAATTTAATCTCACAATATTGTTCATCTCCATTTGTATACGTTGAACTTATTTCGCACCGTACGTAGCCAACCGCGCTAAACGCAGGTGCGGGGGAAGGACAACAAACCAAAGACATCTCTCTCCTTCCCCCACCATTACCACTCCTCGTATCACCATCTCTTCACCCCCCCCCCCCCACTACCGCTGTGAACTCCCTCCCTGCTGTTACTCCCTCCCCATTCTCCTACTTCGCACACTTCCCATCACCCTCTTACCCCCCCCCCCCGCCCGCCCGCCCGCCCGCCCGATGTATTGATCGGCTGAGTTTTGACACAGAGCCAGCCCCGATTATTGCAGTAGCCGCATCACACGCAGAGAGAGAGATAGACGGGCCAGAGAGAACCGCAATCGAGAGACGAGAACATGCGGAGGAAAACGTCGAGGGAGCGCGATGGAGAATGGCAATTCATTACAGGCGGTGTTGTTCGTTGTAAGGGCCCCGTGGCCCACTGGCGCCCCCCCCCCTCCCCTCCAGGTGGCCTTCAGTGCGGCCCCCTGATGTGCGCCCACAACCCCCCCCCCCCTCCCCCGACAATACACAAATACTGAAAACACCCCCATCATCATCATCATCGTGCTGCTGTTAAACCCCAACGATGGTCTCAGCATGTCTTATCGGCGAAAGTGCCCTCCAAGTGCCCCCCTCTGAAAATTATCAGAAAAAGATATCGAAGTCTGTCCCCCGTTCTGCTTAAAGACCCTCTCCCTCCTTCTGATTGGACGGAATCTTCCAGCCATGATTGGCTTGTACACCTTGTCACGCTTTTACTCGTGCCCAGTTGTCAGGCTCATGTTTATTTGTTCGTGCCAATTGTCGTGACCATCTTCATATTATCCATAATAGTGGTGTTTGGGTTTATGGGTGAGATCGCGCCACGGTGGCGAGATGGAAACTATCTCGGCTGGTATACAAGAGGTTGTGGCTTCGATCCCGACCTTGATGATGCCTGTATATTGGGAGTTGTGACTTCGATCCCGACCCTGATGATGCCTGTATATTGGGAGTTGTGGCTTTGATCCCGATCCTGATGATACCTGTATATTGGGAATTGTGACTTCGATCCCGACCCTGATGATGCCTTTATATTGGAAGTAGTGACTTCGATCCCGACCCTAATGATGCCTGTATATTGGGAGTAGTGGCTTCGATTCCGACCCTGATGATGCCTGCATATTGGGAGTTTGCATGCTCTTTCCGCGATTGCATGGATTTTTCTCCGGGTTCTCCGGTTTGTCCCTCCACATTTAAAATCATGCGTTTAGAGTAATTGGCTGCTATACATGTCCGCATGATAATACACTTTCGTTGAGCTATCATTTGTCGCCAGGTCGCCTCTGAAAAAAACAAACTAAACACAAAAAGCAGTTCTAAACAGAGGGAATGAATCACAGCACAGTTAGAGATTGAGAGTGAAAGGGGAGATGGAACAAGCGATAATGAGTGAGCGAGAATGAGAGCTTTAGGAAGGATCGCAAGGCAAGTGAGAGGTAGACACAGAGAGAGAGGGTGGTAAGTGAACGTGCGTGACGAGCGAGAGAGTTAAGAGGAGAGAGAGAGAGAGAAAAAGAGAGACGGTAGAGTGTAATCTGGCTGCCACATGTCATCCATATCGCTAGACCTAGAAAGTTTGGCTCTGCCAAGTTCAGGCATTCGCTTCCAATCTCGCTGATGGATCACTTGCTCCGACTCGTCTCGTGCGTGCGCGCGCGCCCTGGCTGTGTGGTACACGCGCTCAGATGATGATGATGTTGCCCCAGCAGCAGCACATTCGGTTCGTACGCGCACAGCGCCGGAGTTATAGGTATCTCTCTCGACCCCCAAGGCACCAACATCCTTAACGCTCGATGCCGGGAAGACGCTCCATGTAGTGGAAACTACAAACCGTCCTCTTTTTTTATCATGTAAGGGCCACTGAGCTGTATAGTAGCTCTTTTCAGAAGTGACCTGGCCACAAATGGTGGCTCAACAAAGTGGCTTATCACGTGGAAATGTATAGCAGCCAAATGCTCTAAACGCGTGATGTTGATTCTAAATGTGGAGGGAAAAACCGGAGGACCTGCAGAGAAAAATTCACGTGACCACTGGGAGAAAGAAAGACACGCAAACTCCAAATATACAGCAGACGTCAGGGTCGGGATCGAACACACGACCTCCTGTATACCCGGCGACACTGGCGGAGCCAGTGAGGTGGGGTGGGGTGGCACGTGCCCCCCCCCCCCCCAATGATCCGATCGAAATCCCTAATTTCGATCGGATCACTGGGGTTTATTAGTAATAAATCGGCATTTTGCCACCAACACTGCCACTGTGTAGCATATTATTACGTGCCAGAGATGATAGGATGATAGGTCTGAGTCCATAATTGCCAATAAGTAATGGCAAAGCGGTTATAAGTGACTCACAGTTATTGAGCGCAGTTGCGTACACAGTACACGACTTCCCTGAAGGCATCGACACCTTCAGCGAGCGCGATACCGATCACACAACGCGGTTCGAATTCGACCCTCGATCGATGGCTGCGCCATCGCCGCACACAGTAAGTCCTTACTTACTAACAACTCCTCTATCATTTTTCACTGCTGGAGGGGTTGCTCCCCCCCCCCCACCCTACCTGAAAATCCTGGCCCCGCCATTGCCCGGCGAGGTAGTTAACATCTCGCCACCATGGCGCGTAGGCTTTCGCGACCAATGTTACATTTCATAATTGATGTTTGGGTTAGGTCAGATCGCGTGAGAGTAAATTGTGTGCGCTAATTTGCTACTGCTTTCAGCACCCCGGCAATGTTGGAGAGCAATCCTAATCAGTTGTAAAAATTCTGACACCTCCCCAATGATGCTGGTTGTGGCTACCACAAAACGTCGTACACAGCCCTTCCCCCACCCACTCACACCCCTCCCCCCATCAGCTCCACCTCCCCTCCCCCCACACCCCTCCCCCCATCAGCTCCACCTCCCCTCCCCTCACACACCTGCACCCATCAGCTCCACTTAGAGAACCATGGGGCCAGAACAGAAGTCTAAGGTAGTAAAACTCTACCCATAACCATTAATGCGTGTGGCTCATAAGAGTAAATCACGTGATAACCCCACTAATTTCCCGTTGTTATCACGTCATTCACTGTTATTCGCCTCATTAACAAATTGCCACCGACACATTTGATGCCACCTCGGGTGGTGCCGACAAGATATCTTGGGCTCATGGCCCCTCTATCAACACCGTCTTCTTACCGCCCGTCCTTCCTCCATGAACGCCGTCACGGTGCGGTGGTTATAATTCGACTCGGAGATATGCCATTAATTTGTTGTCTCATTTATATAGTTTGTGAGTGTGTGCGCGCGCGCGCGCGTGCGCTTTGTTTATTTGTACTGCCTTGTTTTGCGCGTCTTTTTCTTTCCAATTACTCCGAGTGTGTCACTGCGCATCATCTGCAGACGACGCATATAAAACAATTCGATGTGAGCATCGCGAACGTTATAATGGATTCTTAAATGGTTAATCTGTTACCACTGATTGGACGTTTCTTGACTATTTGTGCCCATATGCCCACTTTTATTCCTACCACCGCAGGATTTGAAGAGGAGGGGGAGGGAGAGAGGCGCAAGAGGAGGGAGGAGTAGTGGGGGCAGGAGGGAGGGAGGGAAGGGGGAGACGCTGGGTCCCCCGAGCCTCGTGGGCCCGCGGGGCGGCGGGAACTGGCCTCCCCCGCGAGGATAATGCGCTGTGCCGGAGATGATGCCTCGGGCCGCACACAGCAAGAGGACCTCGCAGACTCGTGACGTCAGCAGGAGGGGCATCTCGCAGGCTCGTGACGCCAGCAGGAGGGGGAGCTCGTTGGCTCGTGACGTCACCAAAAGGAGCAGCTCGCATTCTTGTGACGTTGGCGAGAGGAGCATCTGGCGTGCTCGTGACGTCAGCAGGAGGCGCTCACTGAATCGTGACGTCAACGGGAGCTCGCAGTCTCGTGACGCCGGCAGGGGGAGTAGCTCGCCGACCCGCGCCGTCGACGGGAGGAATTCTAAAGCCCGTGACATCATCAGCGAGAGCAGCTCGCGGGCCCGTGACATCGTCGTCGGCGGGAGGAGTTTGCGGGACCGTGACGTCAGTGGGAGGAGTTTGTGGGCCCATGACGTCGGCGGGAGGAGGAGCTTGTGGGCCCGTGACGTCGGCGCGCCGTCGCAGCGCACCCCCGCCAATCCCCGTCGACGCGTCTGCCCGACGGGGGTGCCGCTCACGCTGCCTTGGTCCCACCTGTGGTGGCGACGGCGGCGGTGGCCACTGCAGCAGCTGAGACGGTTGAAGGCCCGGGACTGGGCCCATCACTTGCGGCAGCGCTACCGGCCTCGGCTGCTGAGTCAACGGTGTCGGGTGCAGCAGGCTGACCAACCACTGCAGCAGCAGCAGCATCTGCACCAACATCAGCGCCGACTGCGACGGTTGAAACAACGCTGCCATCAGGGGCAGCGGTTGAAAGCTTCGCGGCAATCCAGGAGGCCACGTGGGCGCGTACACGGCCGTCGGGTGTCAAGCCAATGGGTGACTCCATTTAAAGGACAACGCCGTTGGCAGCCAGAGCAGACTCGGCAAGAGCAGCCCCCACGCGCGCGCCATCATCTTGAGCAGGAGGAGCATATTCAGCTTTGTCATCATCGGCATCATCATCATCAGCCGGAAGGGCAGCAAAAGCAGCAGCATCATCATCAGCAGGGGGATCGTGACGGCTGCCGTGGCCTATCATACCCGTGGGCCGTCAGGGCTGAACCCGGAGTCACGGGCCCCACGGCCCAGAGGGCCCTCCCGCTTCTCCTCACACACGGGGCCTCTGCCCCTGGAGACAGGAGGGCAGCTCGCCCACGACGATCATCATCACCACCACCGTCATTATCATCATCATCCACACGTCCAAGGTGGGGGGTCATCATCGCCCTCATTGCCTGCATCGCGATGCTGCCTGCAATGTCAGCGGCTCAGCAAGAAGGCTTCGGGGTGCCTGGGGGACCAGGGGTCGGGGGCGCGACGGGAGTGGGCTCCGGCCAGCCGATGTGCCCGGCCATGTGCTCGTGCAGCCAGCAGTTCAGCAAGGTCCAGTGCACGCGGAGGTCACTGCGGGAGGTCCCGGAGGGGGTGTCCAGCAACACGCGCTACCTGAACCTGCAGGAGAACGCGATACAGGTGCGTGGGGTAGTCGTTTCGTTTGTTAGGTAGCCGGGGCACACGGGAGCCGTGGTACATGGGGGCCATGGTACAAGGATAGCTGGGGTGCATGGGAGCTGTGGTACATGGGAGCCGTGGTGCATGGGAGCCGTGGTGCATGGGAGCCGTGGTGCATGGGAGCCGTGGTGCATGGGAGCCGTGGTGCATGGGAGCCGTGGTGCAAGGGTAGCTGGGGCACACGGGAGCCGTGGTGCGTGGGTGCCGTGCTGCATTGAAGCCGTGGCGTGTCGAGCTATTATTTCGTGATAGATCGCTTCCTGAAAAAGAGCTGTGTAGCTCAGTGGGCCCTTACTTGATAAAACACAAAAAAAATGTTTGTAGTTTAGTTTAACAGATTGGCTTTGTTTGTGGAGACTTGGGATGATAGGAAGTTAAAGGGAGTCGGGGGGAGGTGGGGAGGGCTTGTGTGGAGGCTTTGTTAAGAGCCCCCCCAGGAAGGGAACTCTCTTTGGGGCTTTGCTAAGAGGCACCCCTATTAAGGGGCCTCGCTTAAAGGGCTGCTTCCAGGCACGTCGTCCCGCACGGTTGAGATGAAGCCCGTTGGTCGCTCGGCTCCCGGTGTGACGAGTCGACCCACGCACCCCACACTCCCCCCCCCCTGCCCCCCCCCGAGCACGAGATTCCAGCCGCCGGGTGACGGCAGTGCAATGGGGGCAGGCAGATGTCCGCAGGGTTGCGAGCGATAGCATCCCCGCTGTCGGTCCAGCTCTCGCGCTTATCCATTCACTTCGGATCTCGACGTTGGCAAGCCAGCTTCTGGTGTTGGGGTCACGACGTGGGGGATGTTTGCATTCTCTTTAACTGTGCGATTCATCGATTCGTTGTCACGTAACGTTGTCTAGGCATCGTCCTCATTTTGACATCGGCACCAGTAATTCCTCGTTTTGACGCAGTAGTAGTAGTAGATGATGCATTCCTGAACAGTGAAAAACGATTTGCCCATAAATAACATAACGATAACGTTTGGCGAGGTACGATGTGCTGCTACGACTATGCACATGCAGTGAGATGAACAGGACAAACAACTGAGGGTACTCTGCCACCGCGTTACCGTATCACTCCGTGTACCATATCACTGCACTCCTCAGTCGTGCAGCTCAAGAAAGTAGTTCGTCGTCGACCGCTACGAAACGGCGTTATAACGCGCACGTTCCACGTTATAACGGTGCACGTTCCGCGTTATAATAGTGCACGTTCCACATTATAACGGTGCACGTTCCGCGTCATAATGGTGAAAGTTGTGTGATAAAGTGTTCCCTCATGGGAGACGCACTCTACGGTGTAAACACCAGGGGTTAAGCAATGACTTGCCGTATTGTGTATCCAGATAGTGTACATTTGGGAGCAATATTGTTGTCTTGAGCCTTCTGGTTGGCAAACCTATCTTACTTTGTACAGCAATGCATCCAGATGTATTTCTATGGGGCGCCACTGTGGTGAGATATTATCTACCTCGCCTGGTATGCAGGAGGTTTGGGTTGGATCCCAACCCTGATGCCTGCTGTATATTTCGCGACCGGCCTAATACAACGATTCTTTGAGGGCAGCAAATCATAAATCACATCAGAAATGATGGTAGCCGAGGCACGCGTATCAACCAAGACCCAGACTCCTACTCCCTAGATAAATCCCGCTACTGCCGACGAGCCCGCCACGGCCGCTTTCACTCGGCATGCCAACTTCTTCCAATTCGTACCGGAATCTGGCCAACCATCCACCGTCGGATGCCGCGACAAGATGACGAGGGGTGAAAATGGAACCCGGTGCGAGCGACGATCTAGATGCGTGAGATGGTGGCTGAGGCCGGGTGTCCGATGTGTCGCGACTTGCCTGTCGGGCTTGAGGAGCAGTAGTCGGCGGGTCGGAGGGCATCGAAGGTGTCGCCGACATCCTGGTGCCTCTCCGGCATCCTCTTGCGATGTGGCCCGGCCGGCCGCATCGAAAACAGGCGCCGGCCTGTTCTTCTCCCCAACCCCAGCCTAGAGGCCGCCACTCCATGTCCCGCCTGCCCGGCCCTGGGTCTCACATCGCCGCTGCAAGCTCCAGCTCATGCCATGAGGGCCCCTCAGCCCCCTCTGAGTCCCCCGACCAAGCCGCCACCTTGGGCCATTGCTGGATACTTTCGTGGGCTTGTACACACTGGGCCACCCATAAAGACGTCAGCTCTTCCTCCTCCATTACGCGCAGCGCAACACCCAACTCCTGCACCAATGCCAGCAACCTCTCCACCGCCAGGGAGTCAAGTGCCGCCTGGTCCATATGCGGGTACACCGTCTGTCCCAATGCCAGAAGTGCTCCGCAGAAGGCAACAGGCGACTCGGCCTCCCCTCGCCTCCGCTAAGGGAACCTCCTGCAGGCGTTGGATGGCGGATCAAATACGGCCGCCATGTGGACGTACACCTGTTGTAGCATGGCCCGGTCCTTTCCAGCGATGACCCGGAACGCCGCCAGCGCGTCGTCATCGAGGGCCATAGGCAGAGCCCGCAGAGCTTCCTCTTCCGTCCATCCGACGGACAGGTAAGCCGCCTCGAAGCGGCACTGGAAAGCGGCCCAGTCTCCTCCCGCTGCGACGAACTCGCGTATCAGAGGCAGGCATCTGGGGCAGCTCATTGCTGCTTCGTGTGCCACCAGAGTAGAAGCACCTTTCTTGGTTTCCCGTGCTCCACACAACATGGTGGCCATTGCCTGCGCTGCACATTCAGCGGGTGAAATGGCGGGCGGTGACCGTGTGGCCTCCTTGGTGGGAACATCGGCGGCGGGTGGCGGCTTCGACGGCTGGCACGGAACTCGCACCGCCGCTCCCCCGTCCAACGCAGCCATGGAAAGTTATGCGACCAACTGCGAGATGGTCGCAAGGAGTAGGTCGAGGAGGCTCGCCACCTCCCGCCATCCATCGTTGGCACGTGGCCGTGGAGGATCCACGACCCTCTCCCCAAATTCTGCGGCTGCCGTTCCGGCGCCCGCATGGTCCTCGACCAGGATTGCGGATCCCAGGGCTGCCCAAGGGGTCTCCTCATCGTTATTGCCCTCGTCTGAAGTCGGTACAGGTGTTTTTTTTTCTTTAGATTTTTAGACGTAATTATTTTCACTTCTGGCACCAAATGTAGTGTACGACTCTGGAGACAATAACTGTGGAGGCACCTTCTTATTTACTTATCTTAACCTTACACTGTTATACTCACTGACACGTAACACAACACTGACCGCCTAGCAACGATGGCGCTGACTGACTAGATAGCTGGCTAACTATCTAGCGGTGGCAACGTCGAGCGATGACAAAGACGGCAGCGACAACGGCGATGACGAGGACAGCAGCAACGACGAGAAGACCCCGATTCCCATGGACAGCCTCGAGCTCCCTCTCTCGCCCCCTTTTATCCTTCCTGCGGAGCCCGACCATGCCCTGGCCACGCCCCCCCTTCTGGAACCATCTAGCTGGTTCTGGGAGTCACAAGCTGGATCCCTTCCACGACCCTTGGCCCACTTATTTTCCCTTATACGACCCTTGCCCCAGATCTTCCCTTTGGGTGGATACACCCGTAATTCCAACCCCTGGTCGCCAATTGGCGCTGCTACACTACACATGTATCCCTCTATTTAAGAACGAAACAGGAGGATTTATCCACAAATCTGTCTGTCTGCCTGATGATGCTGGCTGTATTTACTGGTGCAACGTCGTACTCGAATTGTAAATGTTGTGGATTTGCTCTCCAACACACTGGTGTGCTGAACTAGTAACGAATTGGCATGATCGGTTTATGAGACAAACCTTACTAATTGGCTTGTCGGGTAGTGGCGGGTTTAACGACACACATTTACATTTACGCGATTTAACCCAAAACATTTTTTTGGACATCATGATCGAGTCTGAATTAACCACGCGCGCTTGCGGTGAAACATCGCAATCAAACATGCTTTGATAATGTGCGCATTGTCTTTTGTGTAGAGCACAGGGTCTAATACCAGTTGTGTCTCCCTGCGGTGGGGTGCTGGGGCACTGGGGGGTGGGGGGGGCATGGGGGGGGGGGGCATGGCGAGTGGGGAAATCGACAAGGCAGCTGTGCAGGACGTCCTGGAACATTTCTTCAGACACTCTTGGGATGTACAATGAATAGTTTCATTGATTTGGCACCGTACGTGTACACCAAAAAATTAAAAAGTGTATTGGCAAAAACTGCAAAGATGTGAAAGTCAAACATTGATCTGTGGTTTCCAGAAGAGGACAAGCCTTTAGCCTTTAATTGTATGCCGAAAGTATGGGACAGCGGGCCTTTTGTGGTTGTAGGGAAATACATGTGCTATACCTCCAGCCCGTGAAACCCCGAGTTTGATTCCCGCTCACGGCCAACACAAGCGACGATTATTTGAACCGGTCCTGGGCCTCCACTGGGCCCACTCACCTTCAATGGAGTACCTGGTGCAGTGTGTAAACATCGCCACTGGGGAGACAAAGGCGTCCGGGCGTGGTGCTGGCTACCCACCCCCTCGCGTGCCGTGCCGGCTTTCACGTGTCACGGTGGGGAGATGTTATTTCCCTCGCCTGGTATACAGGCGGTCGTGGGTTCGATCCCGACCCTGACTTCTGTATATTTGGAGTTTGCGTGTTCTCGCTGTGGTCGCGTGAATTTTTCTCCAGGTCCTCCGGGTTTTCCCTCCACATTTAGAAACATGCGTTTTGAGTATTTGGCCGCTTTCAATTTCCATATTCATAAGCCACTTCGTTGGGCTATCATTTGCGATAGCCTGATCACTTCTGAAAAATATCTATGTAGCTCAGTGGGCCTTACCTGGCAAAATAAAAAATAGTTTATTTGAAAGGTGCTCGCTAACAGCACTTGGCCCAATAATCTGTTAAGGCTACACAGGGGAATATTTGTCCACCTACAGGGAGAAGCTACACATGGCGCACTCTTGAGGCCCAGCGATTGAAAGATGCGATGCCCAACTTTTTGCCCAATTATTATAGAAGAAGCAACCCAGAAATCAATTGGGCACTTGTTACCTTTCATTATTAGAATAGGTATAACTACGAGCGTATGTATATTTATATCGATCTGTGGCAACAAGTTGCAATTGAAATCTGATTCCTGTAAAAAAGAGAACTCATTCACCTGTCAAATCATAGCTACGGAGCAGTTTACTACAGTAATGGATTTTTAATCCCCCCCCCCCCACTCTGCAACTATCCCTCTCAATTGCGTCACGCATCGTGATGTCGAATAGGGGGTGGGGGGGGGGTCATTGAGCTCCTCGTGGCTTGCGATTGGATGCCGGAGGGGCTCCGTGCTGTCTGTGGGTTTAGCGTTGAGGCTCCACGGATGGACGACTTCCTTCTGCAGTGCAGCAGTAATGTACGAATGACGTCAAAGGGGGGCGAGGGGTGGACGAGGGAGGGGGGGGTGTCCATGATATCCACCAAAATTATCCCACATCTACGTACATGGGCGCTGTAATGCGATAAAATCGTACACCCGCAAAATCACCGATCAGCGCTGTGGTCACAATCTCAGCGGACTGTGAAGGAATCGCCGATCTCGCTGATTGAAGTCAACCAGATGAAGGGGCGTGGGGTGGGGGGGGCGTGTCTGCCACATCATTACTCAATCCATGGATCGATTGGCAATTTAATCGACGCAGCGATTAACCTGCAGATTATGATTAACCCCGGTATATTTGTTTATTGTGGCTCGACTGAGCGGAATGGATACAAGAATCTCGTCTTAACGACCCGCAATGACCATGCATGGGGGGCAAATCTCTGATCGGTGATTTTGTCGGGTGTACGATTTTATCGTATTACAGCACCACAGTGGCTAAGAGAGTTAACTACCTCGCCTGATATGCAGTAAGGCCATTGGTTCCATACTGACTCTGACGCCTGCTGTATATTTGGAGTTTGCGTCTCTCTCTGTTTCTCCCCACGTGGTTGCGTGGGCTTTTCTCCGGGTGCTCCGGGTTTTTTTTCCCCCCTCCACATTTAGAATCCAAATCACGCTTTTAGAGTTATTTTGGCTGCTGCTATAAATTTCCAAGTGACAAGCCACTTCGTTGAGCTATCATTTGCGGTAACCAGGTCGCTTCTGAAAAAGAGCCGTGCAGCTCAGTGGGCCTTGCCTGGTAAAATAAAAAGTTTGTGTTTTTAATCGTTAATATACTCCGTAACACACACATGTAGTTGCATTTGTCTGACCAGTATCACAGCCTTCACTTGAGTAATGTTTGCTATACAACGTTCAATGAGGACTCAATCACAGCAGTAGAATCCAAGGGCCTCTGAAGCATTTAAAGATGATCCATTGTGTGAACCCCTGTTGTGACCTTTGACCTGAACCACACGGGTCATCGCATTGATTGGGCGTGTGCCCCTGCTGGAACCTACGCCTCGTGACCGCGACCAGGCAGAAGCGTCATATCCCAACCTCACTCCACAGGACCCTGGCACTCTCCAGTTAGACGCCCGATCCTTGACGCAACTCCGATTCTCAACCTCACTCCACGGCACCCGGCAGTCTCGAGCAAGCCACTCGATCCTCGAGTTCACTCTGATTCTCAACCTCACTCCATGGCATTCTGACACTCTCGATCAAGCCCCTCGAGACCACTCCGATTCTCAACCTCACTGTTGTAACATCTCCACGTGATGATCATGAGCCACTTTGTTGAGCTGTCGCTTGTGATGGCAAGGTTCGCTTCTGCAAAAATGAGTTCATACCTCACTGGGCTTTTCCTTGGCAGGATGAGGATGGTTTAGTTTTTATTTGTATGTTTTCGTGTGATTGGAATCTATGTCTTCCTCTACTCTGCACTCCTATCGTGGTTGTGCATTGTGTTTGTTGTAACGTTCTGACCAACGTGCCTGGACTGAACATCTGCGAAAAAAAGAGCTTCATAGCTCATCGGATTTCTCCAGTGTACAATAAATACTCTGACATATATATATATACGTACGTACAAAAGCAGCGATTGGAGATCTACAGGCCGAAATTGGCATCTGATGGCGAATAATATCGCGTCGTGGGAAGAAAAAAAAAACGCGTTACGTTGGCAGCACAGGGCGAACGAGAAGGAAGAGATCAGCACGGGCGTGAAAAACCTCGCAGACTCCCAGACGCCTGCTGTGACAGGACGCGTGCACCACGGGTGGCGAATTGGAGGGTGGCCCACACAGAGTCAGCTATGACAAGGTGGAAGCGTTGTGTGTGTGTGTGTCAAAACCCAACACTTCTTCGTGGGGAAAAGAGTCATTGGGGGGGGGGGGGGGGGGGGTGGGGAAATCCGTTGAGATGGAGAAGAATAATTTCAATCGAGCTGATGGCTGTGAATTCATGAGTGTGGCTTGGAAAAAGCTTTTTTTTTTACACAACAACAAAAAGGCATTGGGATATGCTTGCCTCTCTGTGCACGTGATGTACCGACTGCTGTATAGTCCGATTGTCTGTGTGTATGTGTTGAGCTTCTTTCGCACTGTACGTAGCCAACCTCGCTAATTATTGGAGGTGCCGGGGAAGGATAACAGACTCGGTGTGTGTGTGGGGGGAGGGCAGCTGTTGTGTGTGTGCATGAATGGAGCTCAAATGTGTACCCGGTGCGGTGTGTAAACATCGCCACACGTGAGACAAATGCGGCCGGACGTGCATGGTGCTGGCCACCCGCTCTCCCGTTTGCCATGCCGACCTTCATAGGTGCTCGCTAACAGCACTTGCCCCAACAGTGTGTGAAAGGCTACACAAGGGATCTTTGTCTTTATTTTCTATGTGTGTGTGTGTGTGGTATGACGGTCTCTGTGGGCTGTGCAGGTGATTCGAGTGGATAGCTTCAAACACCTGAGACACCTGGAGATCCTGCAACTCAACAAGAACCAGGTTCGACACATAGAGGTGAGAGACCACGTACATGCCCCAGGGGGCGGGGGGGGGGGGTTCAGACGGGGGAGGGGGGGGGATGTTTCTGCCCCGAACGCTTTCTAGAAGCAGTGAGCGGCAATTGCTCTCCGTACCTGGCCTGGATGGCCATCCCCTAGTCGTACTTGGCCTAAAATGAACACCTGGTCCAGGGGATCGGCAACCCTGCGGCTCAGGAGCCGCTCGTGGTGGCTCTTTAAGGCAGGCGGTGGGGAACCTTTTTTCTGCCAAGGGCCATTTGGATGTTTATAACATCATTCGCGGGCCATACAAAATCATCAACTTAAAAATTAGCCCGTTATATTTAGTCAAACATTTAATTAACTCACCCCTAATGCGACGGGCTGGAACTGCCTCTCTTTGGCGAGGCGTGTGATGATGTTAGCTGGTAATGATGATGTTAGCTGGTATTGGTGATGTTAGCTGGCTATTGACGATGTTAGCTGGTATTGGTGATGTTAGCTGGTATTGGTGATGTTAGCTGGTATTGATGATGTTAGCTGGTATTGGTGATGTTAGCTGGCTATTGACGATGTTGCTACTCGCAACTGCTTTTCCAGGTTTGCTCTCCTAGATTTATTGAATTTCGAGTCCCGCCTGTGGTTGCTTTGGCAGGGCACGAGAGCCTCATACGGCCCGGGGGCCGGACGTTCCCCACCCCTGCGGTTCTTGAAATTCGCAACAACAACGAACAGAAAAAAAAATGTCCTTTCTTGTTATTTTGGATGCCGGCCCCCTGCCCAGGCCACTACCGCCGGCGCAGTTGCACCGCCGGCACACTTGATAGCTGCGCCGCTACGGGAGGTGATGGCCGGCGGAGGTAATGGGGTGGGGGTGCCCGCATCCCCACAGCACCCCCTCAAACCGCGGTGCAGAAGGGCTGCGCGTCGTGTTAACGCCATGGGCGCTCCAGACCACTTCCATCCATCCGCAGTGTGCCATGCTGGCTCGAATGAATAGGTGCTCGCTAAGTGCAAACGCCACCCCGCCCGCCCGCCTCTGTCTAGGAGTCTACGCGGCGGAGCTGTCTCTTTTGTGTGGCCGTATGGATTTGTGAGATGTAACAACAACAACAAAAAACACAAAGATTCCCCCGAACAGCCTTGAGCGGAACGCTGGGGGGCAAATGCTGTTGTTTAGCGAGCGAGCACCTCTGATTGGCTATGTACGGTGCGAAAGAAGTTCAACGTGCGTACGAAAGCCCCCGGCACGGTACACGATGGAGTGGGTGACCAACACCGCGCCCGGCCGCCTTTGTCTCCCCAGTGGCGATGTTTACACACCGCACCCAGGTACTCATTTTAAGGCTGAGTCGACCTAGGAGAGGACCAGCACAAAGACACGCGCGCACACGCACACGCGTGCAAGGTTAGCACGGCTGCCTCCTGTCTCTTTCCATGTAGCTTGGGCACAGCTGCCGGGGCACTGATGGGATGTGACAAGCGGAAACGCGCGGCTGTCTGAGGGCGCTGTTCAGAAGCACGCTTAGCCAAGACGTGCACAAACAAAGGCACAGACTAAGACCCCCCGTATAGCCTCTAACAGACTGTAGGGGCAAGTGCTGTTCAGCGAGTGGCACCTATGAAGGCCGGCACTGTGGCACACGAGGGGGTGGGTGACCAGCACCACGCCCGACCACCTTTGTCTCCCCTAGTGGTGATGTAATTACACATCGCAGCCGATACTGATTTGAGGTTGAGTCGACCTATGGGAAGCCCAGGACCGGTTCAGATAATCGTCACTGGTCTTGGCCATGAGCGGGAATCGAACCCGTGACAGTAACTTCACCACGGCGCCTGTGCCAGGCCAGGTGCACTTTGAGGCCACGTGACGTGTCGAAGGCTTGCTGACAGGAGGAGGTCTCGGGACAGAGACTGCAGGTGCCATGGGTTGGCTGACTGAGATGACCGGTAGATGTGTAGCGAGTCCAACTGAGTCGCAGACGTTATCTTGGGAGCAACACTATTTATTCACCAACTCAACATAACATAACACAAGCTACACTTGGGTGTTGAATGCCCATCTAGCTACACTACTTCAGAACTAGATACGGTTCACTATCCCGGCCCGGACCACAAGCTGGGTCCCGGACCGCGTGGCTAGAGGCTTCTTTTACCCGACGTGGATCTTCTTCACCAGCGACCCCGAAGAACCCCAAGCCCCTCACGGGGGGGCCCCCGTTATATCAGCCCGGGCTGGGGCTGGCCCCGCCCCTCGCCCCACCCACCTTCTAGATCTCTCGAGCTCTTTCCCGAAGGCTCCCGAGAGCTCTTTTATACCACGTGACCGTCCAGCGGCCCCCGTCCACCGGTGGCCCCCCTCCAATACAATCCGGTCACGTGTCGGCAGGTCAACCGGCGTATTCACCCCCAACGTAACCCTGGCAGGCTGACGCTCCCTCTCGCTCCCTCGCCGGGAGCCCGCACTGCGCACCGCACGTGGTGCCTCCGTGCTGACCAGCGCTCACCCAAGCCCCGCTAGGGCCGGTACTACGCCCCGTAAGCGGGCTACACGTAACGCCAACACATTATCCGCCGTGGCTTCGTAAGCCCGGCACCAAACAGTGACAATCACAGTCACTACAGATGCACCACCACCAGGTGTACCCCCTATTATGCCAACTTGCTGTACTTTAGCCGCCTGGCGCTCTGCTCGTTTTTGTGAGCGTCGCTCCACTGCTCTCCTTTGTTATCACCACCACCACCACCATAACCGCCGACATCACCGCCACCATCGGTTCTCGCTCACGGCCAAAACCAGAGACGATTATCTGAACCGGTTCTGGGCCTCGCCCGAGGTCGACTCAGCCTCAAATGAGTACCTGGTGCAGCGGCTGTGTAAACATCGCCATTGGGGAGACTAAGGCGTGGTGCTGGCCACCCACCCCCTCGCGTGCTGTGCCAGCCTTCATCGGAGCTGCTACTCGCTAACAGCACTTGCCCCAACAGTCTGCTAAAGGCTATAGGGGGGGGGGGGATCTTTGTCTTGTGGTAAGCGCCCACCCCGTGATGATCCTCGCACCGCTGAATAGCTGTGCGGAAACGCGAAGCTACGCTGGACGCCCGCTGCGTGCTTGAGCGAGTGTGCTTTGGAATCCTCTTTTTGGCATTCATTCCCGCACCTCCGATTTGCACACCGCTCCGGGTACTCAGTTGAGGGTCGATTCATACACACACACGCACAACAGCTGCCACACACACACTCAACGTTTGTTGTCCTTCCCCCGCACCTCCGATTAGTACGGTTGGCTACGTACGGTGCGAAAGAAGTTCAAAATACATACGTACACAGACTCACAGAGTCGCTCACATAGTCACTCACACACACACACTCACCCACCCTCCGGTTGGCTACGTACAGTGCGAAAGAAGTTCACCATACATTCGTACACAGACTCACAGAGTCACTCACATAGTCACTGACCCACGCACACACTCACCCACCCTCTGATCAGCACGGTTGGCTACGTACGGTGCGAAAGAAGTTCAGTGTGCATACGTACACAGACTCACATAGTCACTCACCCACCCTCCGATTAGCACGGTTGGCTACGTACGGTGCGAAAGAAGTTCAACACACATGCGTGCGTGCCGGGCTCACCCGATACCAGGGAGTTTCTCGAATATTTCCTTCTCAGGTGCGTTTGCACACATCACGGAATCACGGTCCACACACGTCAACAGCAACAACAACATCAAGCCGCCGTTCGCCACTAAGTGGCGGTGACACCACCACGGAGCTTGTGTCAAGCTAGGTTCACTCTGAGGCATCGCTGACAGGAGGTCACGGAACAGATCCGCGTGTTATGGGTTGGCTGACTGAGATGACTGGCACACACACCACCAACACACTGGGCCGTGGTGGTGGTGGTTGTGGTGTGGACGGAATGGTGGCAGTGATGGCACTGGGAGGTGATGGTGATGGTACTGGGTGGTGGTGATGTGGACGGAGTGGTGGTGGTGGTACTGGGTGGTGGTGGTGACAGTGGTGATAGTGGTGGTGATGTCAACGGACTAGTGGTGGGGACCGGCCCAGCTCAAGGGTTAATCACCACCCACCCGGCAGAGAATTTAAATTATTCATGCGGCTGTTGTGTAAAAAATTACTCTTTAGCGAGAGCACACGGGAGACACGGTAAATAATTTAGCATTTTTATTAATTCTTAATACTTTTGTGGATTTTTTTTGCTGTCATGTTTGTGAAAATAAAGGACACTCATTTATTTAAAAACAAAATTAAATCGCCGCTGTCATTGTAGGAATTGTTTTAACTTCTGCTTGCGGCGAGTGCGTCGCTCCCCACCGAGCCCTCGTGGTGCCTACTTGGGGCCCTGCCATCATCACGATCTGTCGCCAAATCATTGCCGCCACCACCTTGCAGAGGGGCCAGATTCCCCCGCATTGTTCCACCTCAATTCCAAAATGCCATCTCTGTCTTTCCCCCTCTCTCTGTCTCGAACTCTCTCCATGCACCGTCATCTCCACACCGTGCTTAGCACACTCGGTTCTCCCTGCACCTACAATTTTGAACAAATATATTATTACTCTTTGGTTCTTTCGGTAAAGTCACGGATTTTATTTCATTTTATGCCTACGTGACTTTACGGAAATAACCAAAGAGTATAGACTCCTGCAGTCACGAAAGCTTCAAATCATATATAATTAACTCGCCTTTTGCCTGTCCAAGGACGGGTGTATTGCAGTAAATCTGAAACTTGCAAGCGAAAAGCAGACCGCGACGTCATATTCATTGCATCAATTCGTTGTGCAATTTGTAAGGCCGTGGTGACACAGAACTATTTCATTTAAAGGTTATAATCCATTGTTCATCATGACGTCCTTTTTACTTCGATGTCTTAATAGCGGTATGGAGACCGCGTGACGTGAGGGTTCTGCCTTTGTAGTGAGGGTTGTGAGTTGACGCCGAGGAGGGGGGAGGAGGCGCCTCGGCCCCCCCATGTGGAGTGACGTCACCCGTTAATTATTATTAATGGAGGGGGGGTGTACATTTGGAGGACGTCACCTGTTCATGATTATTAATGAGGGGGGCTGTTCGATGTGGAGTGACGTCACCTGCTCATGCTTATGAATAAGGGGGGAGGTTCTCCATGCGGAGTGACGTCACCCACTCATGATTATTAATGATGGGGGGGGGGGGGTCCATGTGGAGGACGTAACCTGTTCATGATTAATGTTCTTGGTTCTTTCGGTAAAGTCACGTAGAATGGAAATAAAATAGTAGTAAAAACATAATTAAGTAAGATTCTCACGACGTTTCGGCCACAACACAAGTAGCCTTCTTCAGGTGAACAAACAGGACTGTCCAGAAGACAGCACTTGAGTGAACATTGCCAAGTATGGACCGCGTCTTTTAAACTGTGTGGGTGGAGTTAACATATGAATTAGCATGTTACCCAGCCCCACCTCCGGATCAGAGGAGGGTGGCGGCTGGGCACACAGAAAAAAGGAAAGAAAAACGAACAGCCAAGGTGCGCTGCTCTGTCCTGTGTTGCGTTATAACTATGATATAAACTGGACTACTATACAATACAATATTATACCTTCCAATCTAAACTGCATGGTATAATATATCCATAGAAAAATTCCACCTTTGAATTATACAATGCGTTACTATACACTGCCCTATACTTTAGACTATCAAATATTAGACTTGTAACTTTACACTGTCTTATTTTATTAACCCCACTATATGCCACACTGCTGTATATTCACTATACAATTACGATACTATATATTGCCATATGAATTGTGTTTAACATTACGATGTTATACTATTTATTATTATACCACATGCTATAAACCATACCATTGACCGTCGTGTGAAAGGTATTAAGAGGCAGTGCCAACGAATGTACTTCGGTCTGAAGGTCACCGTAAAATACAATCAATTAAGAACCGAAATGGTTTATAACATATTTCCAATGGTTACTAAGCCAGAGTCCATCTTCTCAGTTGAGATGGCCTCATGCACCCGATTCAGCGGTTGCACCCGATTCAAGAGCCGAATGGCTCACAGGGCTATACCAAATAAATGAACTATGAACGAATCTCTCATGGTAGCCGGATGGCTTGGAGAGAACCTCCGTCTTGGAGAAGTCAATGTCATGTGAGCCCACTGAATTATAACAGTGATCTGCCACGGCTGAGGAGTTAGTCCTACCGTGTTTCAAGTCTGCTTTATGTTCACGGATGCGGTCCGAGATATGTCGTTTGGTTTCTCCAATGTAGCTGCTACCACAGAGGCAACTTAGTTTGTAAACGCCCGGGTACTGTATGTCTGGGACCACATCTTTTACAGACGGAACCAGATCACGGATTTTATGTACTGTGTTGAATCGGACCTGGATCTTGTGTTTATTCAGAATTTTGGAGATCTTTTTTGTGACCCCCGCAATGTAGGGTAAGGTGATGGTTTTCAATGACTCCTCAAGAGGATCCTTCTTCATGACTGGAGTGATGGCTTTGTGGATTGTGTAGTCGGAGTAACCATGAGCATTGAGAGCTTGGTGTACGTGCTTGAGTTCACTGGCAATGTGTTCCTGGTCGGAAATGCATTGGGCTCTATGGTATAGAGTCTTGATGAGGGAGTTCTTCTGGGATGGATGGTGGTGGGAATCCGGTTTTAAGTAAGCATCCGTATGGGTAGCTTTCCTGTGACAGAGTGGCTCATTGAACCATCAGGTCTCCTGTGCCACTCTATGCCCGACCTTATGGAAGAGGTACGTGGATGACACTTTTATCATCTGGCCACATGGCCGGCCTGCTCTAGACCAATTCCTCGACCACATCAATTCCAAACACACAGCCATCAGATTTACCATGGAGGTCGAAAAGATGGCAAGTTACCCTTTTTGGATGTCTTAATTAAAAGAGGACTGAGATGACTGGCTGATGCACCACCTGTGCCCCCTACTGTGCCAACCTGTTGTGCTTTAGCCACCCGGCGCTCCGCTCGTTGTTGTGAGCGTCGCTCCTCCGCCCTCCGTTGTTGTTGGAGGGCGACTGCCTCCAACTACGTCCTTCACGAGCCTCCTCCACAGAGGCCGATCTTGACACCGCTGGTACCAGTCATCGGCAAGTCCACTCAGCTCCACGTCCTCCTGTACCACGTCACTCCATCTCTTCTCTAGCCCGTGCCGTGCCCGTTTAGCCCCCTCGATCCGGCCGAACAAAAGCTGTTTCGGTATGTGGTGGATGGGCATGCGGGCTACATGACCCAGCCAACGCAGCCTTGCCTGCCGGAGGAGCTCACCGATGGGACCGTGCCCAGATCTTTCAAGGATTTGTGAGCTCCTCACACAATCCAGCCTGGTTAAACCCAGGATGGATCGCAGGCAGGCCAGCCTAAATGTTTCTAACCGGTGAAGATGTTCCATTAGGGGGGTCCACGTTTCGCAAGCGTAGAGAAGGGAGGGAATGACCGTGGCCGAGAAGACCTGAAGCTTAGTGCGGAGCGACAGACCAGGTAGCTTCCACACAGCGTTACGCAACCGATGAAAAGATATTGCCACTCGACTGATTCGGAGTGAGACCTCTGCTGTTAAACTGGAGCCGGTCATAAGCACACTGCCCAGGTATGGGAAACTCTCCACTCTCTCCACAACTGCCCCATCACCGATTGGGAGTTGTGGGGGTGGAGTGTCCGATGGTACAAAATACCCAGGCAGGTGCTTAGTTTTGGTGGGGCTGATGGTAAGGCCCCATCTCTTAGTAGCACGCTCCAGTCTCAGCAGCAGCGTCTCCAACTCCTCCTCTGAATGAGCACCTATTACCAAATCATCGGCATACATAACATGGTTGAGCAATAGGGAGCCATCCCTTGACCGCACCCGGGCATCGATCAGCCTCCCATTATATCTGTACCATATGGAGATTCCCCCGGTACAGCTATTGAAGGCTTCACGAACTACGTGGTCAAAATAGATGTTAAATAATGTGGGAGCCAGAGGACATCCCTGTCGCACCCCAAGGTGTACAGGGAATGGCTCTGACTCCCGGCCATGTAGTTTTACCCGGGCCCGCTCACCGTCATGAAGGTCCTTAATGATCGTGAGCAAAGGGTCAGGTACTCCAAAAGCATGAAGATCAACCCAGAGCCCAGGCCTACTGATGCTATCATAGGCCTTGACCAGGTCAATAAAGCAGAGATGTAGGTCTTGCTGGAATTCCCTACACCAATGCTGTAGCAGATGGACAGAAAATATGGCATCTGTGCAGGACAGCCCTTTTCTGAAACCGCATTGGGGCTCCGCAAGCTTCTCCTCAGCGTGCCTGGTAAGGCGATGTTGCATAATCCTTGCTATGACCTTTCCCGGCACACTGAGGAGTGAGATGCCCCTGTAGTTGTTACAGTCTGTGCATGCACACACATACGTACACACACACACGCGCACATACAAAGACAAAGATAAAGATCCCCCATATAGCCTTAACGGACTGTAGGGGCAAGTGCTGTTAGCGAGCACCTATGAAGGCCGGAACGGTACACGAGGGGGTGGGTGGTCAGCACCACGCCCGACAGCCTTTGTCTCCCCAGTGGCAATGTTTACACACTGCACCAGGTACTAATTTGAGGCTGAGTCGACCTAGGGGAGGCCCGGGACCGGTTCAGATAATCGTCACTGGTGTTGGCCGTGAGCGGGAATCGAACCCGGGTCGCCAGGTTCATAGCGCAGCGCGCTAACCGCTACACCACCGCTCCCTGCACATACACACGCGCACGCGCACACACGCACACGCGCACACTCACAATTCGTCCTCCACCCACCCCAGGTGGGCGCGTTCAACGGGCTGGCCAACCTCAACACGCTGGAGCTGTTCGACAACCGCCTCACCACCATCCCCATCGGCGCCTTCGAGTACCTCTCCAAGCTGCGCGAGCTCTGGCTGCGCAACAACCCCATCACCAGCGTGCCCTCCCTGGCCTTCAACCGCGTGCCCTCGCTCCGCCGCCTGGACCTCAGCGAGCTGCGCAAGCTCGATTTCATCTCCGAGGGCGCCTTTGAGGTGCCCACGGGGGAAAGAGGGGCAGCGGAGAGGGGGAGGGGGGTGGAGAGCTGGGGGATAAGGGGGAGGGGTAGGCCCGGAGGGGGGGGGGGCTAGGTCGACGAAAGTGGCAAAGCGATGACAGACGGTCCTCGTCTTACGAACGCCCGAACTTACGAACAACCGCAGTTGCGAACTATCCACACTTACGAACCAGCTTCCATGAAATATATTTTTTTGTTAAACATTGACTTAAAACGCGACCTCTCGCTTGCAAATTGAACCGCGGCGCTATTTTGTACAGCCGAGCGATGCAAATGAGTCCGCCTTGTGCTGGGAGTGGGTGTCTGCGTGGGCATTGCAATGCAGTCGATGACTGCGACTTACGAGCAGGCCGACTTACGAACGGGTCTCGGGAACGAGCTACGTTCGTAAGTCGGGAACCGATCGTACAGCCGCGTCTCGCTTTTAACAATGGGTATCCATTGTACCGGATATCCATTGTAATGTATATGCATACATAACCCCCACCCGCCTGGAAATTCGTACCTGATTGGCTCATAAGTGACGACATCACGTTTGCTGTTGTTATTGTCTTTGCTCGTGCCGCGTTTGCCAACTCCTTCAACCCCACCCACACCCACCCCCACAGGGTCTGAGCAACCTGCGACACCTGAACCTGGGCATGTGCATGCTGCGGGAAGTGCCCAACCTCTCGTCGCTGGGGCGGCTCGAAGAGCTGGAACTGTCCGGCAACCGCCTTGAGCAGGTCAAGTCGGGCTCCTTCCTGGGCCTCTCCAACCTCAAGAAGCTGTGGCTCATGCATTCGCAGGTAACGGGCTCGAAGGGGTCAGCCGGTGTCATTAAACCTGCCAGCACCCGACACAGCCCAATTAGAAAAGGTTCGTCGCGTAAACAAAACGCAGCGTTACCCCCCCCCCCAACGCCCACCAACCCCTTTGCGTCCGTAGGTAATACGGAGGAAGAATAACAAAAGCAAAGAATCCCACCTGCCTCCACCCCCCGGCCCTGTGTACGAGGCTGCACACGGATTTTGCGTGGCAGTATAGCTTTGTGTAATGTATTACAGACTCGGGCGGACGTTGTGTGTGTCGTCGATGGGAGAGAAAACAAATGAATGGGTTCTGGAGAAGGCTGGTGTTGAAAGAAAACTGTTAGAGGTGATAAAATCGGGAAAGCTTAGCCTACTACTACTATGGGCACGTCATGAGAAAAAAATTGAATTTGTTTGGAAAGCAGATTATTTGTTCATTTCGTCCGCTTATCCTTGTTGAGGGTTGTGGCGGTAGCAGCGTGTTGGGTAGTGGCAGTCCACACCTCCTTTTTCCATGGCGACAGATTCCAGCACTACACGGCGAAACACTACTATACGCTACTATACACTACTACACTATACACTACACTATACAACTACTACACTATACACTACTATACACGACGCTACTATACACGATACTACTATACACTACTACACTACACACTACTACACTATACACTACTATACACGACGCTACTATACACTACTACACTATACACTACTACACTATACACTACTACACTATACACTACTATACACGACGCTACTATACACGACACTACTATACACTACATTATTATACAATACACTATACACGACACTATACACTGCTACACTGTACACTACTACACTATACTACTACACTATACACTACTATACACTACACTACTATACACTACACTACTGTACACTACACTATACACTACACTCTACACTACTATACACTACTACACTATACACTACTATACACAGACTCTAGCTCTTCCTGGGGAATTCCCAGGCGTTCCCAGGCCAGCCGAGCGACGTCGTCCCACCAGCAGCGTGTTCTGTGCCGGCCCCGGAGTCTTCGCGGATTATGCACGGCACAATGCCAGGGACGAGGAAGACCAAGGATGCCAATGGATGGATAACATCAAAGCATGGACGAGGCTCACGCTGGAACAGACAGTGAGGATAGCAGAAGACAGAAGTCAGTAGCGATGGATTGCCCACGTTTCGGCCAAGCCTCGGATCGAGGATGGCTGAAGACGAAACAACAAATGTATTGCAACAACAATGACACAAAGATCTCACGTGCGTGGTGTGTGTGTGTGTGGCAGCTGTTGTGCGTGTGTGTGTATGAATCGACCCTCAAATGAGTGCCCGGAGCGGTGTGCCAATCTGAGGTGCGGGAATGAATGCCAAAAAGAGGATTCCTAAAGCACACTCGCTCAAGCCCGCAGCGGGCGTCCAGCGTAGCTTCGTGTTTCCGCACAGCGATTCAGCGGTGCGAGGATCATCACGGAGTGTGCGCTTACCGCAAGACAAATATCCCCCCCGTATAGCCTTTAGCAGACTGTTGGGGCAAGTGCTGTTAGCGAGTACTGCCTATGGAGGCCAGCTAGGGCACACAAGGAGGGCGGGTGGCCAGCAATACTAACACATCGCTCCCTCGTCTTGTATGCAGGAGGATCATTGGTTCGATCCCGACCCTGACGATGCCTGCTACTGTATATTTGGAGTTTGCGTCTCTCTCTCTCTCCACCCGTGGTGTTCGCGTGGACTTTTTCCGGGTCCTCCGGTTTTTCCCCGCCACGTGTAGAATCAACATCACGCGTTTAGAGTATTTGGCTGCTGCTAAAACCTTTCCACGTGACGATGATGATGACAAGCCGCCGACTTTGTTGAGCTATCATTTGTTGGCTAGGTCCCTTATGAAAAAAGCGCTACGTAGCAGCTCAGCGGGGCATTACCTGGTAAAATAAGAAATAGTTTAATTCAGATTTACTCACCAGATTTATTCCCAAATCGTCGTGTTTTTGGACCGGCGTGTCACGTGGAAATGAAATCCATTCGTGGACTCGCATCCCCCGTTGACGGTGGCGGTTGATGACACAGACGCCACCGCCACCACGGAATAATTCCCCGGCGTCTACTCGCAGTCTCAAATCATTGTTGTGGTGAAACGAAAAACAGTTTGGTTTCAGTTTCGATCTCTGCCGACGTCCGCTTGCACCCCCCTCCGCAACCCCCGAAACAACCCAGGTGCGCCTGATCGAGCGCAACGCCTTCGACGACCTGCGCTCGCTGCAGGAGCTCAACCTGGCGCACAACAGCCTCACGTCGCTGCCGCACGACCTCTTCACGCCGCTGCCGTCGCTGCAGCGCGTCCACCTGCACCACAACCCGTGGAACTGCGACTGCGACGTCCTCTGGCTCAGCTGGTGGCTCAAGGAGAACGTGCCCACCAACACGACGTGCTGCGCCCGCTGCCACTCGCCGCCGCGCCTGCGCACGCGCTACATCGGCGAGCTCGACCAGAGCCACTTCGTGTGCTACGCGCCGGTCATTGTCGAGGCGCCCCTCGACCAGAACGTGACCGAGGGCAGCGCCGCCGAGCTCAAGTGCCGCGCGTCCTCCACGACGTCGGTCAGCTGGATCACGCCCAACGGCACCATGATGACGCACGGCTCGTACCGGGTGCGCATCCTGGTGCTCAACGACGGCACGCTCAACTTCACCAACGTCACCGTGCAGGACACGGGCCTCTACACGTGCCTCGTGAGCAACTCGGCGGGAAACACCACGGCGTCGGCCACGCTCAACGTAAGCTCGTCGTCGGCGCAGCAGGCGGCCGGCGGGCCCGGCGGCGAGGGCTCGAGCACGTCATACTTCACCACGGTGACCGTGGAGACGAGCGAAACGAGCAATGAGGAGGTCGGAGGAGGAGGAGGAGGCGACGGTGGAGGAGGTGGTGGCGGAGGTGCAGGTGGTGGTGGTGGTGGTGGTGGACCGGGCGGCGTAGGAGTGGCACAGGCGGGTGGTGATGACGGCGCCGGTGGTGGTGGCGGCGACGGTGGCGGTGGTGGAGGTGTCGGAGGCGGCGGGGGCGGTGGTGGTGGTAGCGGCGGCGGCGGCGGCTCCCGTTCGGAAGGAGAGAGAGTCGGCACCGGCGGTGGCGTTCGGTTCGGGGCGGGCGTCGGCGTAGGCCGGAGCGCGCCCAACGGCAAGCTGGGCCCCACCCCGTCGAGCCACTGGAACAACAGCCTGGTGGTGGTCACCTCCTCCACGCCGGCGTCGGCCAGGAGCCGCCCCGTGGGCGTCGAATTTGCCGGCACGCGGGCGCCCGACCGGGGCTACACGGTGCCCATCTCCGACGGCGGCGGCGGCGGCGGAGGCGGCGGGGGCGGAGACCCCTCGTCGACCATGGCCGGGCTCGACGAGGTGATGAAGACGACCAAGATCATCATCGGCTGCTTCGTGGCCATCACGCTCATGGCGGCGGTGATGCTCATCGTGTTCTACAAGATGCGCAAGCAGCACCATCACCACCACCACCAGCAGCAGCAGCAGCAGCACCATCACCACCACCAGCACAGCCAGCAGCAGCACCACTCGCTGCAGCAGCAGCAGCAGCAGCACCACCACCACCACCACGGCCTGGCCACACACCTCCACCACCACGGCGGCGGTGGCTCGGGCGGAGGCGGTGGCTCCGGTGGGCCCCTGCACCTGGGTGGAGGAGGGGGCGGCGTCGGCGGCCTCCACCTGCACCACCACCTGCACCACGGCGGGCGGCACGCGCCGTCGCGCGCCATCGAGGTGATCAGCGTGGACGATGAGCTGGTGACGGGCGCCACCCTGGGCGAGGGCCTCATGATCCCTCCTCCTCCTCCCGCGCCTCCTCCGCCGCCTCCGCCCCCTCCTCCTCCTCCTCAGCCGCCGGCGCCTCCTGCCGCCGCGTCCGTTCCCGGAGCGCCGGTGCCCGCCCCGTCATTACCGCCGATCCTTCCCACTCTTCAGCAGCAGCAGCAGATGCAGCAGCAGCAGCAGATGCAGCAGCAGCAGATGCAGCAGCAGCAGCAGATGCAGCAGCAGCAGATGCAGCAGCAGCAGCAGATGCAGCAGCAGCATCATCAGCAGCATCAGCAGCAGAGTCCTCCTCCGCAGCACATGCAGCCCGATGGTGATGCCGAGCGCCAGCTCATGTTGCTCAAGAGCAACCACCACCACCAGCAGCTGCACCACCAGCAGAGTCTGCTCGATTGTGAAAACCACAACGACGGTGGTACCGCTGGGCTCGGAGGAATCGTCGGCGGACTCGGGGATGGCGGAGGCATCCTGGACGACCCCTTCTCCAAGATGACGCAGAGCCTCGGCATGGCCCTGCAGGCCATAGGCGGAGAGCACGAGGGCCACCTCCTGGCGGGGATGAACAACAACACCATGGTCGGGGTCGGGGTCATGGCCCCACCGCAGGGGCCCCTGGGCGCGCTGCACTGCTCGCTGCACGAGCCGCTCCTCATCCGCACCAATTCCAAGGACAACATTCAGGAGACGCAGATATAGGTGGATTCGCTCGGTGTGTACAACTGGTTGGGGGTGGGCATGGGGGGTGGGCAGGGGGTGGGTTAGGGGAGGTCAGCCGTGGGCTGCCGAGTCTTTGTGACGTTGGAGCGCGTCCCCGCGGATTGGTTGGAGCGAGGCTCCGCGTGGGGCGCGCGTGGCTCGGGGTCCGGCAGCGCTTGTCTTTGTCGGCTCGCATCTCCGCGCAGATGAGGAACTCTCCAAAGCCACCCACCCCACCCATTCCACCCCACCCACCCCGCGACCCCCCAAGAAGTTCGTCTCAACCTCTGTTCAACTTTCACGGTGGCTTCAACAACGGAGGCTGTGAGTGAACGCGGTCAGTGCCGTAGACTTCCGTAAAAGTTCGCGCCTTCAAAGCGACGAGCTACTACCCCCCTCCCCCCCCCAGCAGCCCCCCGTACAGTCCATGCGCGCTCCCTCGTGTACTCCCGCCCCCTCATCCTCCCCCCCCCCTCTCTCGACGGGGGATAGCGTACGCGCGTCTCCGTTAAGCGAGAGCAGCTCGCGATTTGTACACCCTCGACGGGTTGGGGAGCTAAGTTCGAGCCGTTTATCGCACCTCGTTCTCGCCAGTTAGCGACCGGACCGTGCATTCAGTGGGTGGGCGGATAACTGAGGTCTGGGGCCAGTAGTATTATTATAATAATAATGACGACAAGTGAAACATCATAGAATATTTTAGCGGGGGGGGCGGGCGGGCGGGCGGACGGGCGGGCGGGTTGGGGGGCCACGATTACTTTGTCTTTGCTTACTTTATTGAACCCTCTTAAAGGGAACGCGTTTGAGAGAGACGGTAGAGAGTGGGGGGGGGGGGCAGCGTGTTTGTTTGGGGGTACAGCGAGAGGCGGGGTGATGCCTGCGGTCCGTGCACGCTTGGCGGCGGCACCCGTTGTGATTTCCGGCCGGATATTTCAATCTGCACGGCCTGACCGTTGAGATTCGCCGTCTTTGCCTCTCCCTCCGGTAACACCAGATTTTTTTTTTTTTAATTTTAAATATCTCCCCGCACGCGACGGATTAAAATTAAAACAAAACCACGAGCGAATCTCGGCCGAGCATTGCCCCCCGCGAGAGCAGGGGCTAATCTGAGACGGGACCCTTTTGCCTCGAGTGAAGAGGCCTTTTTCTGGAATTAAGAGTGGCAAAACGGGGGCCGTCCCATAGGAGGGGGGGTGAGGGGCAAATCCTTCAAACTAAACCGGAAGGGTTCCATCTGACACTGTGACGTTGATGTGCGCCCCCCCCCCCAACCCCCCAGGGCGGTCGCCCCGATTCGCCGTACACCCTAGGGGGACGGCTCTGGTGGCAAAGTGCGGATGGGTTGCCGAGTTGGGGGTGGGTGTTGCATCGTTCTCGTCCGTCATTAAACAGCGTTGTCTCTTGATTCACAATGGGTTTTTTTGTAGGCTGGAACGTCTTGTAGAGTGGATCGTCTTGTAGAGGTGTAATGTCGATTGAAAATTAAAAAAAAACCTCCACCATCCGACAGATCCAAATTGAATCGAGTTGTCACGTGGGTGAATGTGCCGGCTCGTTTTGGTTTTTCATCGACACGTGGAAAGGCAAGCGGCATTTTGACAAATTGCGTTTTTTGCGGAGGTTTCGCTCGAGATTTCGTGAAACAAAATTAGGCTTTTTCTACAGGCCAATTGATTTGACAACCAAAATCGAGGTTGTCATGCGCGTTTAGCCCATCACGCGTCAACTTGACCGGCTCCGTTTCGGTACAAAATGTATCAATATAATAAATATACCCTTCCACTTACGCGACGATCTAGCACACAATGTGTCCAATTATGAATCAAAGCATCGGTCGTGAAAAAAAAAACCCACTCGTGAAAGGAGCGTTATTATATTTTTGTCGTTGTTGGTTTTTTTGTTGTTGTTGTTAACGTCCCAGAATGCCACGTGCTTTCTGAGCCAGAGTTTCGGGAATTTTAAAACAACCGCTTGGCAGTGGGCACAAAACCCTCACCACCTCCCCCGAGAGTGAATCCTCACCAAGCTGCTGCTGCTTTGCCAACCACCGTGGGAAGGGTGGCGAGGGAGAGTTGAGAATTATGACTGTGGCCCTCGCCTCGTCCGCTGTAGACATTTATTTTTTGCTCCCAAGTGATCTAGCAAACAAGCTCGCTCATTAAACACGCAAACCACGCAGATAGCCTTGACAGACTGTTGGGGCAAGTGCTGTTAGCGAGCAGCAGCGCCGATGAAGATCAACACGGTATACGAGGTGGTGGGTGGCCACCACCACGCCCGGCCGCATTTATCACCCTGGTGGCGATGTCTGCACACCGCAGGAAATATTAATTTGTGGCTGAGTCAACATAGAGGACGCCCAGGACAAGGGCACACGTGCAAGGGCATCACGGTTGGCTCCTGTCTCATTCCACGTGGCTTGGGCACAGCTGCCAGAGTCGACCTAGGGAAGGAGGCCCAGGACTGGATCAGATAATTGTCACCCGTGTTAGCCGTGAGCGGAATCGAACTCAGGTCGCCGGGTTCGTAGCGCAGCGTGCTAACCGCTACACTACCACTCCCCATAACATATATACACACACATACACACACACAATCACACACGCGCGCGTCTCACCCAGTACAGAATCTTCGTCTCACCCAGTACAGAATCCTCGTCTCACCCAGTACAGAATCCTCGTCCCATCCAGTACAGAATCCTCGTCTCATCCAGTACAGAATCCTCGTCTCACCCAGTACAGAATCCTCGTCTCACCCAGTACAGAACCCTCGTCCCATCCAGTACAGAATCCTCGTCTCGTCCAGTACAGAATCCTCGTCTCACCCAGTACAGAATCCTCGTCCCACCCAGTACAGAATCCTCATCTCACCCAGTACAGAATCCTCGTCTCACCCAGTACAGAATCCTCGTCTCGTCCAGTACAGAATCCTCGTCCCACCCAGTACAGAATCCTCGTCCCACCCAGTACAGAATCCTCGTCTCACCCAGTACAGAATCCTCGTCTCACCCAGTATAGAATCCTCGTCTCACCCAGTACAGAATCCTCGTCTCACCCAGTACAGAATCCTCGTCTCACCCAGTACAGAATCCTCGTCCCATTCAGTACAGAATCCTCGTCTCGTCCAGTACAGAATCCTCGTCTCACCCAGTACAGAATCCTCGTCTCACCCAGTACAGAATCCTCGTCTCACCCAGTACAGAATCCTCGTCCCATCCAGTACAGAATCCTCGTCCCACCCAGTACAGAATCCTCGTCTTGTCCAGTACAGAATCCTCGTCCCATCCAGTACAGAATCCTCGTCTCACCCAGTACAGAATCCTCGTCTCACCCAATACAGAATCCTCGTCCCATCCAGTACAGAATCCTCGTCCTATCCAGTACAGAATCCTCGTCTCACCCAGTACAGAATCCTCGTCTCACCCAGTACAGAATCCTCGTCCCATCCAGTACAGAATCCTCGTCTCACCCAGTACAGAAGTACAGCTCTCGTCTTGTTAGGGTTCCTCAACGACGAACTTGAACGACTATAACGTGGCCTTAATAACACCAGCGGGTGACTCGTGCAGGCTATGTTGGGGGGGGGGGGTGGTTGGGGAGGAGGACGGTTTTGGAGTTTGGGGGAAGGGACGGCAGGGCGGGGAGGGGGAAGTGGGGGTGGGGGTACAGGGACTCCGCTACTTCCGAACATTCGACTTACGAACTTTCAGAGATACGAACAAACATGTCTCGTATGTTCAGTTGCCTGTTCGGATCTAGAGTTCAACCACCGCGCAATAGATGGTGGTGGTGGCATCTACATCTACAGAACGTGAAGAACCAGTGGCATCTACATCTGCAGAACGTGAAGAACCAGTGGCATCTACATCTGCAGAACGTGAAGAACCAGTGGCAACTACATCTGCAGAACGTGAAGAACCAGTGGCATCTACATCTGCAGAACGTGAAGAACCAGTGGCATTTCTAGATTTAAAGCTTTCGTGACTGCAAGGATCCATACTCTTTGGTTCTATTTGGTAAAGTCACGTAGGTAAAAAATAAAACAACAAAAATCACGACGTTTCGGCCACAACACAAGCGGCCTTCATCGGGTGAAGGGATCAGGCTGTCTCGAGGACAGCGCTGGAGTGAAACACAGCCACGCTCAGACCGCGGACCTTTAAGCTGTGTGCGAGCAAACAAGTGGTCCTGACAAAGAAATTAGCATTAAAATTAGCATTTGATTGGCCGATTTTATAAAAGAGGTGGTGTACGTGCCGGTGGACTTGCCGTTTGGCGCGGGGGGGGGGGGGAGTTTACCTATTGATGGTGTGAAAAGGGAATTTTTAAGAGCTGCGAAAGTTTGGGGTACCACTACTTGAAAAATATACTGTACCATTGAAATTAGTTTAATGTTTAGTTCGATTTGGAACATCTTTCCAATGGTTGCTTAATTTGAAACCATCTTCTCGGTTGAAATTGTGTCTGTGTTTGTAGATCTGAATTGCCTCGTGAACAAATCTCTGATAAAAAAAACCCGTGGGTTTGCAAAGAACCTTGGTATCGGAGAAAATTATATCGTGATCACCCACAGCGTTGTAACAGTGATCAGCCACGGCAGAAGAATTCGTTTTGCCGTGTTTCAAATCTTTGTCAGGACGCCTTGTTTGCTCGCACACAGCTTAAAGGTCCGTGGTCTGAGCGTGGCAGTGTTTCACTCCAGCGCTGTCCTCGAGACAGCCTGATCCCTTCACCTGATGAAGGCCGCTTGTGTTGTGGCCGAAACGTCGTGATTTTTGTTGTTTTATTTTTTACCTACGTGACTTTACCGAATAGAACCAGTGGCATCTACATCTGCAGAACATGAAGAACCAGTGGCATCTGTAGAAGGTGAAGAACCAGTGGCATCTATATCTACAGAACATGAAGAACCAGTGGCACCTACGTCTGCAGAACGTGAAAAACCAGTGGCATCTACATCTGCAGAACGTGAAGAACCAGTGGCATCTACATCTGCAGAACGTGAAGAACCAGTGTCATCTACATCTGCAGAAAGTGAAGAACCA